TAAAAAAAAAAAATGCTCATCAGAATCTGCTTATTCCAGCAGCTATTTGTGGCCCATATCTACAGAAGATTATCTCTAGGATGCTTTCTGGAAGCCTGACTTTCTGGTCCGGCTTTCATCTGAGGCTGTCCTATTTTATAAACTGGGACGTGAGCACAGTGAATCCTCAGTATTAACAGCTAGTGGTGCTAAGGGCTACTCACTCTGACAAAATGCAATAGCACAAAGTATAAAGCACAGACATCAGACAGTGCTGATGGAAAGTTGCAAGTGCAAGAGAATGCTTTAGGAAAAGATACCAGAATCTTGAGAAAACCGATCCAGTATTTATAAAGTGCAGAAACGAAGACTGTCTACACTACCACTTTTGTCGGGCCGGGGTGTGAAAAAACACTCCCCTGTGCCGCTGTACGGTGCGCTGTGTGGACAGCCTGAATGTCTGGATACGGGGTATTACAGGAACTAACTGAAGAGCAGATAAAAATATCAATATCTACACATAGCGAATTACCTCCCGTTCCCACTGAAGTGAGTCAGGCCCAGATCCTCAGAGGTATTTAGGTACCTAACTTCCATTGATTTCAGAGGGAGTTAGGGGCCTTAATACCTTTGAGAATTTGGGCCTCAGAGTTTTGCCACTGATGTGTGATCTACTCTAGTTAGGTTCTTCAGAGAGCAGGACTGGATCCAAAGAAATGAGACTGAAACCTGAGGCAACAGCAGCTGCTTAGCTATTGAAGGACTCTGTTTTGAACTGTTTTATTTAAACATGTCCTGAGTGGTATGTTTAAGAATAATGCTTTATACTTACCTAGCACTTTTCCTCTCAAAGCCTCAAAGTGCTTTACAAGCACGAATTCTTTCTTGGTAGTTATAACCCGCTCAGCACTATGGAGGGATTAAGCTTCCCAGCGCCTCTGGGAGATAGGTATATTAATCCCCATTTTACACCTGGGGAAGCTGAACCCCAGGGAAGTGAGCTGCCTGAGGGGGACACAGCTACTCAGTGACAGAGATGAGAACAGACAGCAGCAGCCTCATTCTCCTCCCACGTACACTAGTGCAAATCGGGAGTAGCTCAGCATGTGAGCCTCTTGCACCAGCTCCTCGACAAAGGGAATAGATCTGACTGTCGGGAGGAGACTCAAGGAGACCAACAGATTTGGAACCCTCGATTCACAGGAGGAAACTCCCACTGGCTTCCCTGGGGGCTCTTCGCAGGGCATGAGTTGATATGATGCCTCTAGAGAATGGGGGAGCATCCTCCCCGTGGGAATTGCTAAACTAGAACAGGTGTAGCATTTGCATCCCCTCCCCCCCGCAGCACAGACTTGATGCCACTTGCTGGAGCACAGGACCTTGCCCCTCAGGAACACTGAGTGCAGCTGATGTGACAGCCACCATCTTATCACACTGGTGACGGAAATGGGGACCTCCAAAGCTAGCAGCATGAGTCTCTACAGCTCGAGAGAAAGAGCCCGGCTTTACTTGCACCCTCCGTGGGTCAGGCACACAGGAGGACACTTAACACACAGCCCTGTGTGTTACACTGGCCACCCCCTTTTGCACTCAGGGAGCCTACCTTGTCTTCTCACACCAGTGTGACTCCAGTGACCTCTGGATTATAAGGGAGTCTGGCTGGAGTAAGTGAGAGGAGAATCAGGCCCAGGCAGCACAGCTGCCCGCACAGAACTGCTAAGGGAAGAAAGATGTTCCCTGCACCTTCTCCCCCTGGCCAATGCAGTCATGCTGGAGCAGCCATCAAGCTTCTCTGCTCTAAGCATTTCAGAGCAGGGACTGTCATTTAGTATATGTTTGTACAATGCCTGGCACAATGGGGTCCTGAGCTAGTCAAGGTCTATAGGCATTGCTGCAAGACAAATAATAATTAATAATCATAAATCTGGCCCCACATCAGCAAGTTGTCTCCTAAAGCGGTTCTGCTTTATACCTAATTACAATGCGTTAATGGAAGAAATCATTCCTAATAGTAGAATGGCTCCTCCTAGACAGCCCTGGAACTGGGATTTAAAATGTAAGTTACGAGAAAGGAAGAAAATTGCAGTTTTAAAAGTTTACAGTTAGCAAAATCGGATCAGGTCTATTTGTGAATCAAGGCACCAGCGATATCTACGGTTCTATAAATGCTTTGGGCCAAACATATCCCTAGTGTAATAGACTTAGAATCATAGAATCATGGGACTGGAAGGGACCTCGAGAGGTCATCTAGTCCAGTCCCCTGCACTCATGGCAGGACTAAATATTATCTAGACCATCCCTGTCAGGTGTTTGTCTAACCTGCTTTTAAAAATCTACAATGATGGAGATTCCAAAGCCTCCCTAGGCTATTTAGTCCAGTGCTTAGTCACCCTGACAGTTAGGAAATTTTTCCTAATGTCCAACCTAAACCTCCTTTGCTGCAATTTAAGCCCATTGCTTCTTATCCTGTCCTCAGAGGTTAAGGAGGACAATTTTTCTCCCTCCTCCTCATAACAACTTTTTATGTACTTGAAAACTTTTATCATGTCCCCTCTCTGTCTTCTCTTCTCTAGATGAAACAAAACCAATTTTTTCAATCTTCCCTCATAGGTCATGTGTTGTAGACCTTTAATCATTTTTGTTGCTCTTCTCTGGACTTTCTCCAATTTGTCCACATCTTTCCTGAAATGTGGCACCCAGAACTGGACACAATACTCCTGTTGAGGCCTAGTCAGCGCAGAGCAGAGCGAAAGAATTACTTCTCATGTCTTGCTTACAATACTCCTGCTAATACATCCCAGAAAGATGTTTGCTTTTTTTCCTACAGTGTTACACTGTATGAATATGTTGAATCATATTTAGCTTGTGATCCACTATGACCCTCAGATCCCTTTCCGCAGTACTCCTTCCTAGGCAGTCATTTCCCATTTTGTATGTGTGCAACTGATTGTTCCTTCCTAAGTGGAGTATTTTGCATTTGTCCTTATTGAATTTCATCCTATTTACTTCAGACCATTTCTCCAGTTTGTCCAGATCATTTTGAACGTTAATCCTATCCTACAAAGCACTTGCAACCCCTCCCAGCCTGGTATCATCTGCAAACTTTATAAGTATACTCTCTATGCCATTATCTAAATCATGGATGAAGATATTGAACAGAACCAGACCCAGAACTGATCCATGCGGGACCCCACTCATTATGCCCTTCCAGCATGACTGTGAACCACTGATAACTACTCTCTGGGAATTCCAACCAGTTATGCACCCACCTTATAGTAGCTCCATCTAGGTTGCATTTCCCTAGTTTGTTTATGAGAAGGTCATACGAGATAGTATCAAAAGCTTTACTAAAGTCAAGATATACCACGCCTACTTCTTCCGCCCATCCACAAGGCTTGTTACCCTGTCAAAGAAAGCTATCAGGTTGGTTTGACATGATTTGTTCTGAAGAAATCCATACTGTTATTTATCACCTTATTATCTTATAGATGTTTGCAAATTGATTGCTTAATTATTTGCTCCATTATCTTTTGGGGTACAGAAGTTAAGCTGTCTGGTCTGTAATTCCCCAGGTTGTCCTTATTTCCCTTTTTATAGATGGGCACTATATTTGCCCTTTTCCAGTCTTCTGGAATCTCTCCCGTCTTCCATGACTTTTCAAAGATAATTGCTAATGGCTCAGATATCTCCTCAGTCAGCTCCTTCAGTATTCTAGGATGCATTTCATCAGGCCCTGGTGACTTGAAGACATCTAACCTATCTAAGCAATTTTTAACTTGTTCTTTCCCTATTTTAGCCTCTGATCCTACCTTATTATCACTGGCATTCACTATGTTAGATGTCCAATCACCACCAACCTTCTTGGTGAAAACCAAAACAAAGAAGTCATTAAGCACTTCTGCCATTTCCACATTTTCTGTTATTGTTTCCCCCCTACCCCCTCATTGAGTAATGGGCCTACCCTGTCCGTGGTCTTCCTCTTGCTTCTAATGTATTTGTAGAATGTTTTCTTGTTACCCTTTATGTCTCTAGATAGTTTGATCTCGTTTTGTGCCTTGGCCTTTTTAATTTTGTCCCTACATACTTGTGTTAGTTGTTTATATTCATCCTTTGTAATTTGACCTAGTTTCCACTTTTTGTAGGACTCTTTTTCTGATTTTTAGATCATTTAACATCTCCTGGTTAAGCCAGGGTGGTCTCGTACCATACTTCCTATCTTTCCTACACAGTGGGATAGTTTGCTCGTGCCCTTAATAATGTCTCTTTGAAAAACTGCCAATTGTCTTCAATTGTTTTTCCCCTTAGACTTGCTTCTCATGGGATCTTACCTACCAACTCCCTGAGTTTGCTAAAGTCTGCCTTCTTGAAATCCAGTGTCTTTATTGTGCTGTTCTCCCTCCTACCATTCCTTAGAATCATGAACTCGACCATTTCATGATCACTTTCACCCAAGCTGCCTTCCACTTTCAAATTCTCAACCAGTTCCTTCCTATTTGTCAAAATCAAATCTAGAACAGCCTCTCCCCTAGTAGCTTTCTCCACCTTCTGAAATAAAAAATTGTCTCCAATACATTCCAAGAACTTGTTGGACAATCTGTGCCCTGCTGTGTTATTTTCCCAACAGATGTCTGGGTAGTTGAAGTCCCCCCATCACCACCAACTCCTGTGCTTTGGATGATTTTATTAGTTGTTTAAAAAACCCTCATCCACCTCTTCTTCTTGGTTAGGTGGTCTGTAGTCGACCCCCTACCACGACACCACCCTTGGCTTTTACCCCTTTTATCCTTACCCAGAGACTTTCAACAAGTCTGTCTCCTATTCCCATCTAACCTCAGTCCAAGTGTATACATTTTTAATATATCAGGCAACACCTCCTCGCTTTTTTCCCTGCCTGTCTTTCCTGAGCAAGCTGTATCCTTCTATACCAATATTCCAGTCATGCGTATTATCTCACCAAGTCTCTGTGATGCCAACAGGACTTAGGACCTGTGTTGAGAAAGTCAGGGTCTAGAGATACTTGCCAGTGATTTTGCTTTCCGAAGCTTATAAGATGCACAGCTCGGTTTCCTTTTTTTCTCAACTGCTTGCCGGCTGAGGTCTGGGGTAAGTCCTCCTCCTTTCTTTCTACTGCAAAGTGGAAAGGAATAGTGTTAACTGAGACGAGGAGGAATCCCTGCTGAAATACAAAGAAAACTTGAGAGATAACCCAGATCTAGTTCAGGCTTCCTTTGCTAGCAATATCATCCGTCTCCCCAATCCCTTCTCATGCAATGTAGGCTTGAGAGCGCTCTTCTCTGCAGCTCTCGTCATCTGTAACAGCCTTCCTGTGTCTCTGTGGCTCATCTACTTTCCTGTTTTCTCCCTTGCCCTATGTAAACCTGTAAGCTGCTCTCTTCCATTACTATAATGTAACTCTTTAAAGCATTTTGGGACACAGTTTGTATTAAAGATGCAAAATAAAGTTGTATTGTACTGTAACGTATAGATCACACCTCTCTCCCTGCATCTCTGTGTGTGAAATGAAGAGTGAGTCATTTACCAGAAGGCAAAAAACAAAGATGCTTTTGAAATGTGGGCTCTGATACTGCACACATTTAATGTACAGGCCATCTTAACTACACAGGCCTGATTCTCCACTCCCTAGCACCTTATGTAGTGACATACACCTGTGCAAAGTGGGTGCCAAATATACTGGCAAGGGGGTGGAGAACCAGCCCCATAAAACTAAGCTGGCTTCTAGCCCTTGTCTACGTTCCAAGCTGTACTGATTTAACTAAAGGTGTGTTTTTACACTGATTAGGTTAAACTGATGCAAACCCCTGCCTGAACACTCAAAATCAATTTAAACCTGGTTTATATCAAGTTAGCATGAGTTGACTCCTTACCGACTTCAACTAAATCAGTATAAATAAATGTTCACCTGGGGTGTGCACCAGTTTAACTAAATTGATTTGAGAACACACCTTTAGTTAAGCCAATGTAGCTTGTAGTATAGACGAGGCCCTAGTCTGCCAGACTCTCCTATGAGTCATTGTTTATACAACCAGATAAATCTTCTTCTGTGTGTGTCTATATGGAGCTGTTATAAAAGCTAATATAATCAATTGGCAGGATGGGAATTTCCTACAGTCTGGAACCTGGATGAAGGAATACTGAATCTGGTCGACAGAAAATTTCCCTACATGATTGTACCAAACCTAGTTTCCTAGGACTTCAGAGCAGTCAGTATGCTGTACCCCATGACCACTTGGAACTTCACACCAACAGCAAGGACACAACTAGAGTCACATGAATACTGCAAACAATTTTCTGCAAATATTCATGTGGGTTATTCAGCAAATTTGCTTTGACTACATTGATTCTCCTTTTATGTTCAGTCTCTGCAAGTAGTCTAGTGAATAATTTCACAGGCAGAATTTCCCCCAGAAACAGCAAATTTTAAGGCTATACTTTCCTATTCTGTCCAGATTCTTATACCACACACATCACCATCATATCTCACCTTACAAACAAATAAAAGCCTAAAAGGAACATTTTGAATTCAAAATCATATGACTTCATGCCAGAAATCTGATTTTAAGAGTAACAGATGCATCTGAAGAAGTGAGGTTCTTACCCACGAAAGCTTATGCTCCCAATACTTCTGTTAGTCTTAAAGGTGCCACAGGACCCTCTGTTGCTTTTTACAGATTCAGACTATCACGGCTACTCCTCTGATTTTAAGAGTTGCACTCATCCATCATGTGACTTGCATATCCTTCAAAACCAACTAACACAGTTCAGATATTGCATATTCACAAGGAACTGCTCACAGACAATCTGAAGACCAAGAACCATTCACAGAATTTATTAGGCACATGACTTTAAATAACAAATTAAGAAAATCAAACTGTTTGCAGACAATTTACGGACAGCCAAGAGGTAAAATCCATCTAATACGTTATTCATTGTGAAGAATTTGGTCACCTTTCAACGTTCTGTTGTTCAAGTTCTCCTGGTCCAAAAGCACAGGCTCCTACCACTTGAGCCAAAGAAGAAGCTTAACTAGCTGTTAAAAGTATTGAGCCTATGAAACATGGTTGGGCAGTTCTGATTCCATCCAGTAGAGGGGAGTGACAGCACCCATATGAGCCTATTCATTTAAAATACATTATTAAAAAATAAAAGAATTTATGAAGAAATGAAACAGTGACAGCCCAGTCTTCTACTCAGAGTTTATCCATCTGCCTGTCTCTAACAGATGGTTTAATTTGCACAGCCATGACACATGATGAGTGCTGGGCTAGCTGTGGAGAAATCTGAGTGACAGGGTGCGATGTCACAATTAATAGGTCTAGTGCAATGGAGTTCCCTTCACACGAGAGCGATCCCTGTTCTGTAAGAAGCTGTGCCTAGGCTGTTGACAGAACAATTACTTCAAGTAATTGTTTTCTTATTGGTTAAACGCTCCGGCACAATATGCAATTGTTTTTAGAGCCTGCCTGTGTCCACAAATTATCTGAGTTAGTGTTGGCTTCCAGAGGCCAGAATGAGGGGGCCAGCCTTCATTTCAGCTGACCTGCCATCATGAGAAGTAGCAGGACTCCTTCCTGAGTCACTGGGCCACAGACCTGGCAGGATTCCAACACTGCACTGGAAGCAGAATTCTTTATCCATGATAAAATGGGAGAGAAAACTGCTGATTTATTGGCAACAAGCTGCACAACACCAGATGCCTTCCAGCAGAACTGTGCAAATGGATTAAAGAAACTCTCCTGTTCCTTCCCAATCAGAATGGAGTCAGAGAGATCTTGGACAGCTTGCTCCTATGAAAAGTCTCCTATGAAAATGTATCATTTCATCTTTGCAACATTGCTTTATGCCCTAGAATAGACAAAACCACTCTCACTAATATCTGCCCTCGTTTGTACCTAAGTGAAAGACTACCAGGAAGGTTCAGGTAGAAAACAAGACATAGAAAGACTACCTGAGAGATATCATGATGATGACAGATTACACAGACAGATAAGCAACAGTATAAATCACAGCTATAACTCCATCAAGGAGTTTTGATAATACCTTCCAGGCAATCCATAACTCAACTCCTGCCATCCTCTTGTCTCTCTTCCCACTCTTCTTCACTTCTCCCTCTGTCTCCTTCATTCCCGCCTGACTTTGCGCCATCTTCCACCCCACCCCACATGTCCCAATGCCTCTCATTTAACATGCTCAAAGTTCTATCACCCCTCTCTTTCATTAAGCCCCTTTAAGCCCTGTCTATGATTGCACTCCAACCAGTGACCTCCATCAGTCTATTTGTTTTTATACAGATTTGTGCCCTACTGAGCAGACAGCAAGAAGGGCCCCCCAGAAAGCAGCTTGTTTCTTCCCACTGCCTTAGCTGGGCCCAGTGACTGAGAATCGAGTGGAGAAATGGAAGCCCGGCAGGACTCCACCATTAATAGCTGTGCCCTCCGGGACACTGATGGGGAAGGAGTGGATTAGTTGAATGTTTCTGCTACAAAGAGTCACAGTGAAATTGGTTACAATGTTACCATTTAAATAGCAACAGGTTGCTGAATTAAAACCCCCTATGATGATGAATGGGAGTAGTTCCCACATCTCTCAAGAACTTTTGTTTCAACCTGTCTGCGGATTCAGGAGGACAGCACAGAATCGGGTCATGGTTAGGAAGTTTTTTTTTTCCAAACTGTAAAGACTAGAAACATTTTATTTTCTTAAATCTTAAAAAGGCAGGAGGCCAGATCAATGCATAAAACAGCCTGGGAGTTTGAGACTTCTCTCTTAGTTTGCTCTCTTACTATGTGACAGCATGCACACTTATGGAGCAATATTAACCATAATCATATGCGAAAACAGAGAGAAGTTACACGGGGACAGAGCAAGGGCTTCATTCACATGCAGATGTGACTTAGACCTCCCCCACAGCACCTGCCCCCTACACCCTGCCTTCCAGGACCAAACCACGCTGCTGATGAATGACAGTTGCGTGCTGCTGACATGACCACATGGAGGTTAAAAACAGAGGCTTTACCCAGTGACAGTACCTGGTGCTGGTGTGTCACTTCCTAGGACAATTGGCCTTGAGTGATAAGAAGCTAGGTACAAAGTCTGTATCCATCTGTTGTCCTTGTACTTACATTGCAAGTGCTTTGGGGGCGGGAACTGATTTTTTGTTCTGTGTTTGTACAGTGTCTGGTGCAGTGGGGTCCTGGTCCATGCCCAGGGCTATGCTAATACAAACAGTAAATAATAATAAGCAACTTCAACCCTGCGGGAGGGCCTGGTTTGCTTCCACAATAATTTCCTTGACTGATCAGGGAACAGAATTGCACAACATAGTCTCAGCCAGTCTTCCTGAGCCTAAAGGATGGTGGTCACGATATACAGCCTCGAGGGTGAGTAGCTCAGAGAAGGGTCTGCAGCAGTGGATTCTGACAGTGATCGATCCAAGGAAAAGAAATACCTAACTATGGGTTACCCAAGCGAAAAGTCACATTGATACCTAAACCAGCACACCTGTGCTACTGCGTAACCAGAACAGGCATTATGGTAAAAATAACTTACAGCTTAAGTGATATTAAAGGGAGATCTTTGATAAACAAGCAAATCTCATGGAATTCATTTCTCTCCTTGAAATAATCCCTGGTAATTACAGCTGGGCTTGGTAGAACATTACACACGAAATAACACACATGGTAGCACAAATGGTTCACAGGTTCAAACCCTGCCCAGGAGGAATAAATACTCCCTATACTTATTGCACCATTAGCGACTCAGAACCTGCTCCATCTGTTTGAATGTTGTAGACACATCCCTTAGCCTCATTGTGTCTTTAGATTGTAAACCCTTCAAAGCAAGACGGTCTCTTGATTTTGTACAGCACCTAGTATAACATGGTCCTGATTCAGACTGAATAGTGTAAATCCTACCATAGTATAAATATTTACTACTACAAATAAAAAATAATAATACCCATCTGTAAGGACAAGTATCTCAGTTAAAGGAGGTTAATAAAGTCTTCAGTCAATTCTACCAAGAAGGATGGGACTGAGCTTTTGAAAGGTGCTAAAGAAAGAGGGTGAAATTGAACGCAGAAAGCTCTTTGAAGCAATGTTAAACCCTAGGACGAGGTGATGCGGATTAAAGATAATGATCCATAATAGGATTTCACTAGGAGATGGGGAATTTCTGAAATGTCCAGGATGGGTCCATCCAGCATAACTATTTTCGAAAAGAACCAAGGCACGTACATTAGCATTAGCCCATACGGGTACTAGGTAGGACTGAAACTCACAGTGGCTATGCACCTAGGGTGAAATTCACCACTGCAGAGGGCCAACACAAGGTCAATGAACTTTGAGGGTTTAATTGGGACTTACCTGGTTTACCGGACTTTTGTTGGCCCACTGCAGAAGGAGGAATTTCTTCCCAGATGCATAGCTGGGGGTGGGATTCAAGACACTCTTGAGCCTCTTTTCCCAGGAACTGCTGCACAAGGACAGTCCAATGGTCCAGCTGAGCCATTATTCTTTCTCCAAAAATAGCCACTGCTAGATGTGTCAGAAGAAACCATGAAACTGCCCTAATGCGCTTTGCTGTGAGTTATTATACCATGGCGGAAAGTGTCTTTCTGACCCCAGCAGGTGACCAGATAACACCCTGAAGCATGAGGACTCATTGCTCCTGTAAGTCTATCCTAGACAGTGTAACTGCCGGTGCTAGTCGTTCTTTTTAGATACACCTCTACCTCGATATAACGCTGTCCTCGGGAGCCAAAAAATCTTACCACGTTATAGGTGAAACCGCGTTATATTGAACTTGCTTTGATCCACTGGAGTGCGCAGCTCCGCCCCCCACCGGAGCACTGCTTTACCGCGTTATATCCAAATTCGTGTTATATCGGGTCGCGTTATATCGAGGTAGCGGTGTATATGCATGTAAATCTCTTTTGAGCCATCACGGTCCCACATCGATAATGTGTTTATTAGCTTCCCAGCAGGATGTTTATTTTTCTCTGTTAGTGAGAGCTGCACAATCCCTTAAACCTTGCTGCGTTATTCAGAAATGCCCCTGAGCAGACACCAATAGCCTCCTTCTTCTTACTAGTGCCAGCTACCTTTACCATGCCACAGAAAATGCAGAAAGGAAGGACGGGAGCGTCTTACGCCTGCCTCACTTGCTCGATCGGATCGTAGTTGTCTAGGTAGTTGAATCGGACAATGTCAGTGGGATGTTTATCCGAGGACCGCCATGGTGGGAGCTCTTTTTTCTCCTTGTCTGTCCTCTTTCCTATCACAGATGCTGATTGGAGAACCGAGGAAAGGGATAGTTTTGTCTCTGGAACGTCTCTTGCTATTGGCTGGACATCGATGACCACAAATTCATCTTTTGGAGGGGTCTAATGGGAGAGAGACGGATGGGGGAAATAAACCTCAGCACCCAGCCACATTCCCACCCATTGGGCATCGTTAGTAATGAATCTCAAAATAAAGAAATTACTATCGGGGAATGCACGGCCTCCCAGCTGACAGATCTGCCAGCTTTGGGGGAGAGATATGAGGGTGCTGTCTAATGGTATCTAATGACACGTGGCATCTGGAGACAGAGAGAGAGAGAGAGAGAGAGTCACCATCTCCACACCCAAAGAGCAGGCCAACGTACAGGCATTTTGTTTTTCCCCCACCCCAGTCTCCTATAAAGTCTTGGAAGGAATGTAATTCAAATCACTGCCCCCCTCCCCAGAGCTTAGCTGATGGGGGCGGGGATGATGCTGGGAGCTCTTCTCTCTCCCTCTGCTGTGGGGAGACCCAAATCAAGGCGGGGAAGGGGAGGAGTGTATTGGGGGGAGGGGCACAGGGCCCAAAATGCAGGAGGGTGAATCTTCACAACATTACCCCAAAGGGCAGGTGGGGGGAACAGGAGGAGGCATTGGGGATGGCAGTCAATGGGACCAATCTTCCCTCCTTGCTAGTAAGAGCTTGACTCGACTCCCCATGAGGATGAGAGAGTGAAGCAGCATATTGCATGGTAAGGAATGATATCGAGCACCAAGCAGTAATTTTAAGTAGTGAATCCTCTTTTGGTTTGACAAGTGTGATGCTGTCCAGTGAGAGGCAAACCAAAAGAAGCAACCCTGACGCTCAGATATTCTCTGCTTCCATTCCACGTCTTCCAGAGCGACAGAGATACCTTGGGCCTTGTCACATGAAGCTCCTTCACCATCTCAATGTAGTGTTTCTTCCAGATTCCCTGCTCAAAGGGAGTCGGAGAGAAGTTGATGTACCAGCCAAAACGCAGGCACTTAAGCATCCAGAGCTGATCCAGCTCCGTCAAGTACTTCCAGTGCCAGCTCACCTGTGAATGCCAAAGGCGTAACTATTTCAGCTTACACTCTCATGTAACATCAAGCAGACTGCGAGCCCCACCATGTCAACCCCTTGCAAGAGTAGATCACAGGTCTTGGAACCCAGCAATGCATTTAATTTAAATGGGCAGGGACTGCTTACTGGGGGTGTAATTCACCCCTATGCAGAAGGCCAGCCCCAGACACTTCTTAAATCCCGCTTAAGCCCCACTGGTATGGCCCATGTGCCTGATGCATGCTGAGGCACGCATGAGACACATGGGCCCCGTTAGTGGGGTGTAAGTGGCATTTACATGGGGCAGAGGCCTTGCACCAGCTGGCCCTCTGCACCGGGGTGACCCTCAGAGATTACAGGCCAGGAGGGAAGAAACCAATTTGCCCAAGGAAACATCCCTGCGTTGCCACCACGTGAACAGACTCCAGCCTGAACAAATCCTTCAGTATTTTCTATCTTAAAAAAACAAGACCCCCCCAAGTTGGACTGGCCAGTTCTGAAGGTTTTTCACCAGGGCGGTGTGCTGCTATATACTTTCCCAGGCATTTACTTTGCACATGGCATACCTTCAAGCCTAAGGCTAAATGCACCATTAACTTACTTACTCATTAGTGACACTACTGACACTGCTGAGGCCCTCCTTTCTGGGTAAGTCGTTTCCAAAACTATCTTCCTCCTGGCACTGAGCATCTTATTCAGAAGCTCCACTTTGAGCATTTCTGCTCCCCCGAAGCCAGCACACAGCACAATACATGCATTTCAAAAGATTTTTAAAGCAAGATAAGACAAGAGGGCAAGATTTTCAAAAGCAGCTATTTATTTTGGACGCCCAACTTCAGATGCCTTAAAGGGTTTGATTTTCAGAGAGTGCCAAGCCCTCACCTTTGGAAAAATCAGGCCTTTAAGGTGTCACAAGTTGGGCTCCTGAAAATGGAGGCACCCAAAAATCACTAGTCACTTTTGAAAATCTTGGCCACAATGGTTACACTGTCTTAAATCCTAGACTCATTGAAATGGAGATCATCTAGCCCATTCCTCCATGACCTTGCAACAATTCTGTGCACTAGATTATATGGCCAAATAATTCCCTCTACATTGGCACTTATAAAGAGTCTCTTGCACTGTTATGAAGGCCACTGGCACAAGTATATTGTAATAATCAGGTGCTTCCTTACAGGTCCTCTCAAGTCTCAACTAACTTGAAAGTAGCTTTTACGTTCCAGATACGTGCTGCTTTTTACCTGTGCACATCGACAGAGACTCCTGGGGTCCAGGAAAGAAAAAATGTATAAAGACAACACTCTGGGAAGCTTTGTGGTGAAATCCAGGGCTTCAACTGGAACTCGGTCCTGCAACTGCTTAGAACAGAATTTCTGCTGCGCCAGGGAGCAGCGTTCCAACAAATCTATCAGGATCCTTCGCCTCTGACCATCTGTCCACTTGTCAAACTGAAAAAGGGAAATGCAGGTTTTGTGGCACCAGAGATACAGCTTTTTAAAAATAAGATTAATATTCAAGGCAAGGTAAACGCAAGTACATATGCCATCGCTTCTGGTGAATCATTCCGGGGCAAAGGATGTGGAAATCACAGACAAATGTAAAGGCTAAATGAAAAGAAACTGCAAATGCATGCAACATGTGACTTAACATCTTTAAAGATCCATCTTCCAGGGCACAAATCTGGAAATACTTGTGTGTGTAAGGCTCTTTATTCCCAACAGTAGTCCTGGGTGTTGACTTCCATTGGACTATTCACGGAAGTAAAAACATTCATGTATATAGTGTTTAAAGCCACAGGACACCTCTGTGCAGTAGAAAAATACTATTATGCCCATTTTACCTAAGGGGAACTGAAGCATAGAGAGACTAAGGCCCAGATCCTCAAAGGTATTCAGGCTCCTAACTTCCACTGAAATCAGTGGCCTAAATAAGGTCACATAGAAATTCTGTGGGGGAGCAGGGACTTGAACCCACATCTCCAGCTAAGACCCTAACCTCCAGCCTGCCTCTCCTTAGCACCCCCAAGACAACATGCCTGTGACAGATGTGTACGGAGAGGGTTAAAAAGTTCTGGCCTTACCTGTGGGAAGACAAGCACGTTTAGGTAATCAATCTATCACAAATTCATTGGTACAGAGAGCAGTAAAGTGAGACAGTCCATAAGCAGAGCTGGGCTAGGGACGTGTAGACAGGGTTAGTACAGCGACAGCCATGAAGTAGGTTTTTCTTTTTGTAAGCAGTAAAAGATGGAAAGGGAGAGCATAGCAGGAACTTCCTGCTGGGAATGACTCAGTCACAGGCAATCCTTGCACTTCATGTCAGAAAATTCAAGGTCAGCCCTGTCCCATACAAAAGGACAGCAAAAAGTGCCAAAAGTTAGAAAACATGTAAGAAGACCATTCCACAAACAGTTGGGACCAATGGGAATCCCATGGGAGCTTGTAATCATTAGAAATGCAGTATTTAAAGATGGTATTCTAGGGCTGAAATGCTTCTTACCAGATTTTAAACTGATTACTACTCAATCCTGTTCCCTATCAGCAGAAATAACACCTGTTCTCCATGCATCTGAAGAAGTGAGGATTTTTACCCATGAAAGCTTATGCCCAAATAAATCTGTTAGTTTTTAAGGTGCCACCGGACTCCTACCTGTTCTCCAAATCAGCTCACTGAGAATGAAGCTTTCTGAGTTGTCTTTGGGGTGCTGCTTGCCCTATTATGTTCTTAAACTTTTCCAGCACTGAGGACATATTCTCTATTGGCCAAATCCTGAGGTCTTTACTTGCTTTACTTAACTTCAATGGGAATTTGAAGTTCTCACTTAAAGGTGATCTCAAGGAAATAAATAATAGGTTTGTTCCCTTGTGATGGATAAGAAAGACTTAACTTACTGGTTTTTTTCAGCTGGATTTTTATATTAGAAATTCTACCCTGTTTTTCTTGGAAGATTCTATGGATACCTGGAGAACTGGTGGGATTATGATAATAGAGACACATGCAGATGAAACCTGATTAATTTAGAAGGAAAACAATTTATTTTCAGACTGTTTAAAACTGTTGTTTGATTGTTTTTAGGATTTATTTAATTCACTTATGTGAGAATCAGAAAAGATGCCTTTGTTAAAGATTCAATCAGCCTACTCCTTCTCACAAACACCTCTCTAAGATCTCCAACAAGTCCTCCCGCAGAACCAGAAAAGGACAGAACTGGCATTCCTGACAGCTCCAAAATAAGGTACAAAACAAGCAGAAAAAGTTCCCAAACTTTAAGGCTTTTTTATTCATCATAAAGAAGCAAAGCAGGTAACCAACCCATTTCCCCCCCTTTGCATATTACCTTTAACTCTAGTGAGATTTTGCCAGAGTACTAAGTAAAAACTGAAGAGGCACCTCACAATTTGCTCCTATAAAAACATGTTCGCTGAGATGATAAAACTGTCAGTCAATGACAATTCCCAATTTTCTATTCAATATAAAGACAAAGAGCTAACTAGTTTACTGTCTTCCACACCAGCAGCTTGGTTTGAAGTGATTGGAACAAATTTAGCTCATTCTTTAATGGATCAGGAAGTTTGCTCCTAATTCACTCTTTACGTTCTCTCATAATTTTGGAATAAAGTATAACTTCAGTATCCCCAGTTGTCCTGACTGCTTTGTTGATGGATTTGCCAGCAGACTTCTGTACTTGCATTTTAAATGCCCACTCTCCTGAAATTAATGCAATATGGTCAGCAGCACAGGAAACACACAGCTTCTTTTCCAAGGTGATATATTCAGCAGCAGCAAAGCAGTTAAGCATGCATAATTTGTCTCTTTTTTCAGTATTAACCATATAAGAATGACACAACCCTTACCCTTGTTTACCTTCCGTCACAGCTCCTCCTCTTGCATTTGATTACATTAATCCAACCAGTTTAACTGGATTAGTCTTTGCAAGGTGCTGCACCTTCTCTATTGCTCTAATGCTAAATATTTTCCCCTTTTTTGTGTCTTCTTCCAAGCACATGAGAACAAGGACTCCACAAGGACTATGTGATCTAAAATTATTTTGGATGTTGCACTAGTGAACGTACGGCTCTCTGTCTGTAATTCTACACATATACAATACCACAGCACGTCAATAGCGATAGCACCAAGGAGGACCTTCAGGACCGAAACAGAAGGGTCTCCCTCTCTCTACCACTTCAGCTGAAGGAGAGCTCCTTTCAAGTAGCAAGCTGTTACAGTTCCTCAGGCTAACTATTAGAGGCAGACATGATCGCATGCACATGTCATACTAGCTCACAGGAGTTAGAACAGTGATACATAGACTGAGGCTCGGGAGCCACAAGTGGCTCTTTAATGCACCTCCTGCGGCTCTTTGCAGCACATGATAACAAAACATTGTGTGATTTAATTATTAATCAATCTAAGTCAGTAACCAATCAGGATGTTTTTACTATGTTATTAACCAGTTGTAGAATACTTGGTCAGTCATTTTGCTGTGAGAATCATAGGCACCGACTTCACCTCTTTCCCATGGGTGCTCGACTCCCCATCTGCCCCCAGCCCCGCCCCTGCACTGCCTCTTCCCACCCCTTCCCCAAAGTCCCCGCCCGAACTCTGCCCCTTCCCTGCCAATATTCCAACTCCTTCCCCAAATACCCGCCCTGGCCCCGCCTCTTCCCCGTCTCCTCCCCTGAGCAAGCCATGTTCCCGCTCCTCCCCCTCCCTCCTGGAGCGAGCTAACACTGCCATATAGATGTTTGGCAGCGGCCGGGCAGGAAACGCTGGGAGGTAGGCGGAGGAGCACAGACATGGCGCGCTCATACGAGGGGGAAGAGGAGGAGAAGGAGGGGCAGGGAGTGAGGGGAGCTTGGTTGCCAGTGGGTGCAGAGCACCCACTAATTTTTCCCCATGGGTGCTCTTTTTTCCCGTGGGTGCTCCAGCCACGGAGCACCCACAGAGTCGGAGCCTATGGTGAGAATAATTATATATCTATGAGCGTGTGTGTGTGTGTGTGTAAATGAAACAATAAATTCACACTACTGCGGCTTTTTTGGGTAATGCTGATTGCTAATTTCGTTCCTGAACCACTGAGGTCTGAGTATCACTGAGTTAGAATCACATGCATCCAGGCACTCAAACCTAGGACTGGATTCTGCAGCCACTGTGTCACATTCTAGCAGAGACAAACTCTCTCATCTCCTGTGCCAATCACCCCCACTTAACCCCACTGTAAAGACTCATAGACTGTAAGGCCAGAAGGGACCATCATGATCATCTAGTCCAGTGGTTCCCAAACTTCAACAAACTGTGAACCCCTTTCACTAAAATGTCAAGTCTCGCGAACCCCCTCCTAAAAATGAATATTTCCAGGGATTTTCTCCTTTATCTGAGTATAAATTATAAAAGCAGAGATCTGGGAAATATAAAATGTGTTTTTATGACATGCATATTACACACTATTTATTATTTATTATTATTTATCATTACAGTATTTTTATTACATTAAGAAAACGGCAACACTCTTCCAAGATCTCACTTCCGTAGCTTGTATCACTTTGAATAAGCCTGTTATAAGACAAGGCTCCTATGTTTTATCAAGGAGTATCAGATGTGAAACATCATGAAGGTATCTAAGAAGCCAACTCAAAGAGTTCCTCCTACACAAGCATTCAGGTCTTGAGCAGTCCAGGCAAACAATGCACATTACAACAAAACTTAAACTTGTTCTTCATAATAATTAAAAAAAAAACAATACTAGCTGCCTATTTAATTTTAAAAACAGCAAAAAATTTCCACCTCCCTTTCCATTTCTTATAAGGAATCTTGAAGTTTAAATCTCCTCAGTGTGATAGATAGGCTTGCTTTGATCTGCTTAGCTCATGGAAGTCCAGCGGCTCCGGGCTGCTGGCCCCATGCTGCCCAGGGTCCCTAGGGACAGCTCTGTCCGCCATTAGGGAATTTTTTTCCGAGAACCCCCTGTAACATTTCGCGAACCCCCAGGGGTTCACGAACCCCAGTTTGGGAACCACTGATCTAGTCTAAACTGCACATTGCAGGCCACAGAACCTCACCCGCCCACTCCTGTAATAGACCCCTAACCTCTGGCTGAGTTACTGAAGTCCTTAAATCATGATTTAAAGACTTCAAGTTACACAGAATATACCATTTACACTAGTTTGAACCTGCAAGTGACCTGTGCCTCATGCTGCAGATAAAACCCGGGGTCTCTGCCAATCTGACCTGGGGGAAAACTCCTTCCCAACCCCAAATATGGCGATCAGTTAGACCCTGAGCATGTGGGCAAGACCCACCAGCCTGACACTACAGATAATCCTTTTTTGGTAATTCAGAACCCTCCCAATCTACTCTCCCATCACCGGCATTGGAGATATTTGCTTTTAATTGCAGTGTAAGCCTACCTTGAGAGGGGGACAAAAGTGGCTTTTTGAATTCTGGAGGCGGCTGGGGACTATTGCTATGCCATCCATACTTCCCATGGAGCTGTCCAGCAGTATGGAATAATCAGAGCTCAGTGCATTCTGGCCATGTCTCCTCCCAAACCCAAAGTGCTCCAGCCATGCCTCCCACATGTCCTTATGCCATGAGCAGAGCAGGGGGTGGCCTACGTTTTTGTGTTTTACACTCACTTTTCACAGATGTAAATATTGTTGAAAGGTGCAAGGCAGTGCAGAATCAAGACCAAAGGAACTAAGCACATAAGCAAAGTTACTAACGTATCATTTGCAGTGTCAGATCCTTAACCTTTCAGAAGATTGCATTGCATTTTGGGAGAAGGGGGCTTTAGTTTTTCAACTTTTACAGCCCGTGGCTAGTAACATACGTGCTAAACCATTTGTATTTTTCCTTTCAGATTTTCTGGGAACATTTTAAAATAGAAACTGCAATTTTCAAAATTCAATTTTTGTGTTTGGCAGTTGTTGAGCTCTGGTGCAAACAAGTATTTTTGTACAATCAGAACTTAATTATTTTATTTCCTGAAACTGGAGTACATTCTTTATTATCTAAACATACATGTGCCAAATAGCTACACAAGGCACGTTTCCTGTAATTGTGAACAGTCACAATGAACTTAAATACAAAATATTTGTCCTTAACAGACCAGTTTATTCACAAAAGTTTTTAACACCTGTGACCTTTTAGACTTATATAGCTACACTACTCAAACAGTGCTATTATGCTAGAATTGGGGATCACAACACAGTGGAGATAAGCATCATCATTTTTATACTTCTATTTGACTTGTATATCTATGGGGCCACATACCCGACACCTATTCTTCTGGCTACATTTTGAAAAAGTGTTGAATGCAGCTCAGCCATGCAGTTACCATTGAAGATGACAAATATACATAGCTGAATTCATTCTCACTGAATGCTTCTTTCTTGTGTGTTTATTTCTGTTCATCTGGCACAGGATGAATGTTACAGGTGCTCTTCCAAAACTGTTCCATTCATTTGATTTTCCCTTACAGGACAGGAAGGGTTCTCTAGTGGTTAGAGTGCTAGTGTGGGACTTGGGGAGAGTCAGGTTCAGTTACCTTCTCTGCTACAGACTCTGTGTGACCTTGGGAAACTCATTTAGTCTCTCTGTGCCTCAGTTCCACATCTATAAAATGGGGATCATAGCACTACCCTGCCTCACCAGCATCTTGTGAAGATAACACTAAAAGACTGAGAGGTACTCAGGTAACATGGCCATATAACTATCATGGATAAATCACACTTATTATCTATCTATTTCCAGTGTTAAAAAGCCTTCCTGGCCTTTTATAGCACTATCTAAACATAAGTAAGGCTACGTTTTAATCACAGGTACTTTTAGTAAAAGTTATGGACAGGTCATGGGCAGTAAACAAAAATAAAAGTAAACACGGGAACCATGGCCAATGGGAGCTGTGGAGGCAGTGCCTGCAGGCGGAGGCAGCACGCAAAGCCACCTGACCACGCCTCCGCCTACAAGCTGAGCAAGGGGGATGTTGCCGCTTCCGGGGAGCCACCCCAGGTAAGCGCCACCCAGAGCCCGCCTCATCCCATCCTGTGTCCGAACCCCCTGCCACTTCCCACACCCAAACTCTGCTGCTGATGGGGGATAAGGGCACGGTGGCCCGAGACTGCCCCAGCAGAAGCTGGTGCGACTGGCACAGGGACTGCCTGAGCTGCCCCTGAGCCAGGCGTACTGGCCGCTGCAGAAGTCACGGCGGTCATAGAAAGTCACAGAATCCATGACTTCCGTGAAACTCGCAGCCTTAAACATCAAACATCTTTGCTGAAGACTTCTTCATAAACTTTTCTTTGGGCTTCCCATCCCATTACAAATCATTCTAAATACCAGGCCAGATTTCTCAAATTCATGACCCCTCCGAAGTTATGCCAGGAATGAATTAGCCGCTTTATGTTTCACCTGAGGTTCAACAGTACACTCTGTCCATTTCTGACACTTATACCCTGAAAATTAGTCTCATTGTTTGAAAAGTGAAATGTGTTTAAAATTCACATCCCAGTCATCTCTTCATTAGTTCTGAAACCAACACATACATTTAAAGAGAAAACCTCACCCATTTTCCAAGCAAGGCTCTTCTTTCTTCAAATACCTGTTTAAAAAACAAACAAACACAGAAACAAATAAAATAGAACACATAGAGGTGATTCAGTATGTGTCAGGGAAAAAACTCCAGCTTGAAAAAGAATCTACATATCCTGTAAAACATGAGTCCTCGATACTGCCATCTGGTCCTTGCAGGGAAATTCTTACACCGTTATGGAGTCCACAGAAGTCAATAGGATCCACATGGGTCCACCTATTCCATTCACATTGATCAGGGCCTTAAAGGGTTCATTTGACAGTTATACCCTTTATTCATATTAGGGCTTGTTTTTTTTTAGTGAATACAGCGCTCCCGAGAAGCTCCTGTCTGAAGAGACTACCACTCAGAGGCACAATTAGTGCCAAGTGTAGTGGTGGTTTTGTGATGTGGGCATTTATCCACTAGGACACAGACTGAAAGCATCAGACTCTTGCCTTCATCACTCAGGAGAGTGCACTGGGAAGTATAGAATACAGTAGCTATTCTGTCATAAGGATCAAAGGGGAGACGCTCATTCACTCAACTCACAAGTGCACATTGAAACAGTTACTAACCATAACTAGGAAAATATTATTCATCATTGCAAACTCCAAACATGTTGTTTTGGCAGCCAGCAAGAAAGACTCCTGCAGAGAAAGACAATATCAGTGCTGACATTTGGTACAGTCCAACTGTCAACCCTAACTCTGACTCTCTCAGCAGGGGTGGAAAAATGACATTTCTTTTCTTTGCATGTTTCCAGTTATTATTTGTTTTGTTTTATTTGCACGAGGTACTTGGCAAAATAAGAGGCCCTCTAGTAAGCCTTTTATTGGCTCAACTTTGAAAACATTTGCCACAAGAAAATGATATATAGTCAAAGATCTAAGTTTTGGTTTGGAAAATTTAAGTGAAACAGGGGAGTTATTTCATAGCTGAAAGCAATGTTAATGGCCTCTGATCAAAGAAAGATACCGTGTTTGCTTTCAGTACTCTTAGGAATACAGCTGAGCCAATTCTGCCAAGAAGCTCTGCTTACTCCAGGCATTTGGAAACAAATTACCAGAAATCAGTATAATTGTCCCCTGGCTTCTCCTCCTCTTCCACATCAGGTTTGAGCTTCTTGTCCTCTCTTTCAAGGCTTTGCAAGACTCTGCTTTATCTTTACTCTGATCTTCTCCGACTCCTGTCCCTCACTGCCTTCTTTACTACAAGTCACCATCCTAAGCATCTATTTTCTCTTCTCCAATCTCTTTCTACTTTACCTCTCGAGGTTCCTTCCAGCCCCACATTTCTATGATTCTATCATTAGGACTTCTACTCTGCCCCTCAGGACTCGAAGTTCCTTTCTCTTCTCACTTTGATCCCTTTTAAAAGTGCAGAAGATCAGAAAAATGACTACATAAAAATGGCACTTTCTCTTTTGACAGATCTGCTCCCTGTGTGTACTGAGAGTAGTATCTGTTAGTTTTAGTGGTCATAAATATATTTTTTCTATTTTTCCTCCTGTCAGCCCTGCAGAACCAGCACAGGTATGGGAAAGCAGATTATATTCTGGAACATTATCAAGGGAATTCTTAACTAAATTCTGATGAAAGAATATTACTGGTGATGATGTGTGTGAAAGCCCAGCTGCACTTGCCCCAGCTATAGCTGGTAGGGTTTGAAATTAGGGAAAAAATTATTTTTACTTGTAAACTGGGCACCTCCTTAAGACTTCTAACATATCTGGCACCCTTGGCGGGAATCTCAGCAGAGTGGCCACGCACCACGAACCTCTCTGGTCCAAGATGAAGCACACTGACCATTTGGTGAAGCCTGCACTGCCCTGTCTGTGCTGTACTTGTTCTGTGGCTCAACTGAAGACTTCAGTCCCTAAGGATATCAGTCCAGCACCTTAAACAATTCAAAGACATTTGTAGTTTTAAAGTAACCCAAGTGGCAAGAAAATAGAAGAAAAGACACAGGGAATTCTATTTTGAAAGTTTATGCACAATACAGCATAAATTAATATTACTGGGCTAAATCCTCAAGTCTTTAAACAATTATTACTGATTCCTTACTCAGGCAAAACTCCCAGTGACTTCCATGAGATAAAGGACTTGAAGATTTGGCTCATCCGCAGTAGAAAAATCTACCTTTAAATAATAGGATGGATTCTAACTATGGGACTATATCATTCTTGACTGACTTGCATTAAAGTCTCCTCACATGAGTAAGGGAAGCAGGATTTGGCTTATATCTGACTCAGCTGTATGGGACTTACCTTGTCATTCATAAGCTGATGGTTCAGAGGTGTCCAGGTGCTCATCTTGGTTTGCAGTTTGGGGCCATCCATGTTTTTGGGAGGTGCAAATGCCATCAGGAATGCAAGATTGCAGGCCACCCTGATATCCTTCTGCAGACGAGGCTACAACAATTAGAATAAAAGACCAGCATTATTTCTGTGATGCCCCATTGCAGATGCTAAAGCACATGTTAGTGAAAACCATGAATTTAATCAAGAAGGAATGTAGAAGTGCCATGGCATAGCAATGAGTCAAGTAAAACTCTTCCTCATAAACTTGAATCCTGCAAAGTAAAGTTAACATTTCTTATAGAAAAGGACAATTCTATGGTTTTAGAAGCTTTTATGATAAGATTTACAGATACACAAAAGAATATCAAGACCTTTTTCAATAAAATCCAGTTGGCAAAGCTGAATGAAGAAGAATCAGAACACTTGGATGCTCAAATGTTCCCTGTGGAAATTCTACAGGCCATTCAGAATCCATCAATATGCACAACATCAAGCTTCTCTATCTTGGGGCATGTCTACACTAAAAACTTAAGTCGGCCTATGTTAGGTCAACTTACAGCCACCACAGTAATTACTGCAGTGGTTCATGTCCACTCTGCCCTTCTTCCGTCGGTGGTGTGTGTCCTCACCAGGAGCCACTCCACCTATTTAAGAGGGGCTGTGGAGGAGGGGCTGAGAGCCTGGACTCTCAGCTCCGTGCATAGCTCCCCCCGGAGCCGGACTCCCCTGGGGCTCCCTGCCCCCTGGCCAGGAGCTGCCCTGAGACTCCCCGCTCCCAGACGGGCTCCCAGGTCCCCACCGGTAGCTTGGGGGCATCCTCTCCAGCTCTCAGCTACCCACTTCCTGCTAGGTGGCTGCTGTGCTCCCGGCAAGGAGCCGGGAGCCCTGGCGGCTGCCGGGCTCCCCATGGGGAGCAGAGAGCCCCAGGGCAGAAGCCCTGCTGGGAGGGAGGAAGCCAGGACCCCAGGGGGCGACCCAGCCTGGCGCGGAGCCCCGTGGGCCCAGCCTGGCTCTAGCTGAACCCCCCCCCCCACCCACCCAACTTTCCTGTCAATTTCAGGTTCTAGCATGGAGCTGTGAAACTGACAAGGCAGCCAACAGCCAATGTAAGTAACCCACAATGACACTGTGTCGCTGTAACTACACTGACATAAGCCCTATGCCTCTCGTGGAGGTGGAGTTACATGTCGGTGTAGTAGGGCACTTACATTGGTTTGAGCAAGGCTGTAGCATAGACACTGACATAATTAGGTCGACATAAGCTGCCTTATGTCGACCTAATGCTTTAGTGTAAACAAGCCACGTAAAAATCAAAAGCAACAGCAAAGTCCCTAGTGGATTTTATGGAGTCTCTGGGTTTTCTGCTTGGGTTATTGGTTGAAGGTTTTTTGGTTTATTTGCTTGTTTCAGGCCCACGGGTATATGCAATATAACACTACAAACCCAGAGATCTAGCTAGGTTTTTATATTGTGCTCATTACGTTAACATCTATATGCACTAATGGCCGGATCCAAAGTCACTGAAGTCGATGTGAGTCTTTCCATTAACTTACCTGGGTTCTGGATCTGGCCTTAATTCAGTTAGGGCTAGATTGTAAACTAGGATTCTGCTCCTGGGGAAGACGAGAGGAAGAACTGTATCTCAGAGAGTCACAATCTGAGCAGGGGCAAATGACGGAGACAGGATGGCCTTAATCCCCTCTTATTTCCTTGAACGTCTGAGTGAAGGCTATGAGAATCTAATCTTTAAGGATGATTCCATGGAGCTTATGAGAAAAAAATCATTTCAATCTACTAAAAGAAAAAGATCAGTTTAAGACAGATGGTGGTACGTAGTTAAAACTGTTGTTCAAAACAATTGTTCAGGAGGACATTTCCAGCACCTTCAACTTGTGGGAAAGGATAAAGAAATCAAGGGCCTCCAATCTCTATATACTGTGTTTAAAAGAGGGCTCAGAAGGAGAAAATCCCTCTGTATCTTTACCTGCTTTTTTGGAGGAAACCTTACACATGTAAATGTGAACCTTTGCTGACAACAGACAGGGCTAGTCCTTCAACTGCAACTGTAGTAAGCCTATTATGCCCCACCCAACTCAGCAAGATTCTTAAGCACATAGCTAATTTTAAGCATGTGAATGGTCTCATTTACTTTAATGGGACTATTTAAGTGCTTAACATTAGGCATGTGCTTAAGAATACTGCTGGATCAGGGCCTTAGACTTCAAAACTTCAGGGGTAGAGGCTGTTCTTTATTTTGTATGGGCTGGTCCACACTAACCCCCTAGTTCGAACTAAGATACACAACTTCAGCTACGTGAATAACGTTATTCACGTAGCTGAAGTCGAAGTACCTTAGTTCGAACTACAAGGTACTTACCGCGGGTCCACATGCGTCAGGCAGGCTCCCCCGTCGACTCCGTGTACTCCTCTCGCCGAGCAGGAGTACTGGCGTCAACGGCGAGCACTTCCGGGATCGATTTATCGCGTCTAGACAAGACGCGATAAATCGATCCCAGATCGATTTCTTACCGCCGAACCCGGAGGTAAGTATAGACGTACCCTATGTCTACAGCAGCCAGCACAATGGGACCCTCAAGCCTGACTAGGTCTCTGTATGATACTGTCATACTGCTACTACTACTACTGCTACTACCAACAAATAAATCAAATGGGTCTTTCCAATCAGGAATTATGTTGAATGCTTTCCCTTGTTTTTTGATCAGTGAATGACCAAAAGAGGTTTTGCAACAAATCAGGAAGCAAATATGTTTTTTTCCCCAAGCTCCTGACACTACAGAGAAAACAAGCTGCAAAGATTTAACCTTCTTAAAGACAAATGTAATAACATTGGAGATACTTTTGCACTATTTTCCCTACTAGGTTATACATCATTTTAAGAAACATAAAATGGCTCTTTCTTGATTTTGATGAGCATACAATACCCAGTCCTCCAAGGGTCCATTTGCTTCCTTTACATTTAAACTAGCAGAATGAGATTCAAAATGGTTAAGAATTGAATGAAAGCTCCTATCTTCCTGCATTTTAGTGGATTTGTTTTTGGATGTTTGTATTGATTCTGTGGCTTATGGCATTGGGGTTTTTTTTACAATTAGAAACCTGAGGTCAAATGTGTCACTGCACTATGTTTTTTTTTATTAATTCTCTCTTTTGTGGCACCAAATAAATGTCATCTCTACTGGTCTAAATGGTAGTGTCTTTATACAAATATTTGTCCAAATATGTGAAAGGCTCTCTCTTTATCCTAAATCCTGTAACAGGCTTTAATGGGTCTGCATAAGAGCCCATCCCCATGGAGCCAGGGGCAGGATTGTAGTCTTAGATTCTAATATTCTGAAAATTGAATAATTTCTTTTAAATGAAGTGACATTAAAAATGTCTGAAATCCTTAATATGGTTATTGGGTGCCTGTTCTGTAAATACTTCAGTGTGTTTATTTTAAAGCTTTCATGATGGCAGGATGATTTAGGACTTCTGGAACAAAAGAAAAGCTAACTTTGATACAGTATCAGCAAACACCTTTGTATAACACTTTGCCAATACAAACACACTCTAATGATCACAAGAAAAACCTTACGGAAAACCCAATCCTGCAGTGTATCCAGTCAAGATTCCCTTCTTTGCTTCTGAAAATGCGACAGGATCAGCCCCAGCAGATCACCCTTTCCTTGTATTTTTCTATTTCTTTACAAATATGATGGAAGCAGAGGAGTGAAGAGAACCGGTAAAACATACACACTTCCTGTCCTCGCTATCTTTTGCTGCAATATGGTTTAATAGCTAGATCAGGAGACTCTGACAGGACTCCTAGTTAGGGTGACCAGATGTCCCGATTTTATAGGGACAGTCCTGATATTTGGGGCTTTGTCTTATATAGGCGCCTATTATCCCCCACCGCCTGTCCCGATTTTTCACACTTGCTGTCTGGTCACCCTACTCCTAGTTCCTGGTTTCTTTTTAGTGGGGAGTTTCTTAAAGCAGTTATTGTAACTAGATGACAGGTTGCAAAGTCAAGCACTCCAAAGTTAAGAAATGCCAGAATTAAGGTTGTCTGTGTAACCTTAATTTGGCTTCCTTGTGCATTGCACTGATATAGTTTTAACCTACATGATAACATAATATTTTTTCTACAGCAACCTGGCCTCATCCAGTGCATGGGAAGGACAGTGCTTACAATAACACTGTAGGCTGGTGAAGCAGTTCAGTACAAAACAAAAAACAAACAAAAAAACAGGGTCAGGCAGTCATGTTCCTGTTCTGAGAGAGAAGTTAGTATCCAAGCATCAAAACAAAAACAAAAATAATCTCAACCTTGGTTTCACAGATGACAGCCTTCTTCCTACACAGGCTCTTCTTTCATAGAATCATAGAATATTAGGGTTGGAAGAGACCTCAGGAGATCATCTAGTCGAATCCCCTGCTCAAAGCAGTACCAACACCAACTAAATCATCCGAGCCAGGGCTTTGTCAAGCCGGGCCTTAAAAACCTCTAAAGATGGAGATTCCACCACCTCCCTAGGTAACCCATTCCAGTGCTTCAGCACCCTCCTAGTGAAATAGTGTTTTCTAATATCCAATCTAGATCTCCCCCACTGCAACCTGAGACCATTGCTTCTTGTTCTGTCATCTGCCACCACTGAGAACAGTCTAACTCCATCCTCTTTGGAACCCCCCTTCAGGTAGTTGAAAGCTGCTATCAAATCTTCCCCCTCACTCTTCTCTTCTGTAGACAAAATAACCCCAGTTCCCTCAGCCTCTCCTCATAAGTCATGTGACCCAGCCCCCTAATCATTTTCATTGCCCTCCGCTAGACTCTTTCCAATCTGTCCACATCCCTTCTGTAGTGGGGGGGACCAAAACTGGACATAATACTCCAGGTGTGGCCTCACCAGTGCCGAATAGAGGGAAATAATCACTTCCCTCGATCTGCTGGCAATGCTCCCACTAATACAGCCCAATATACCGTTGGCCTTCTTGGCAACAAGGGCACACTGCTGATTCATATCCAGCTTCTCGTCCACTGTAATCCCCAGGTCCTTTTCTGT